CCTGAGGTAATATTTCGTTTGTAAGTTTTTTCATTTTAGCTTCAAGTATCAAACAAAGTGCAAATACCTTAGTTTGACGTAATGTTGTCTTTAGACTCTGTTTTTTGTAATGAACTCATTGTTTCTCATATAACACAATTCTCGGCAACAGTGGACAGATGAGGTGACTGCAAACTCGCGGGATACAAGTTGTTCACTCATCCTGGAAATCCAGTACTGCTCATTTGTTCTGAACTCATTGATGCTGTAGTGATCCCGTAAGTCTTTTCGACCACAAAAAGATCTGGCGTTAATAACATTTTGTTTGCCTTGGTATTGATTTACGTCATAAACATTAACAAGTATCTTATAAGCCCATATATAATAGGTATCTTAATGTTGTAAGATCACTGTTATTAGCCCATATAGCCATATTTTCAATTAGTTATTTTTTTATAATAAATTACACTGGTTGCATAATTTCAATCTGAAGATTATTTACTTCACGATTTTAAATGTAATTTACCATGTTTGTAATTTGTTAATTTTTTATTAATAACTTACCTTATTTTCATTGCGGATTACTTGCGCAACTTGGTATCATATTTATTGCTTTGTTTACTTTTAGTTAATTCGGTTTTAATAACTTACCTTATATTGAATACGGATTACTTGGGCAAGTTGATATCATATTTACTGTAGAGTAATTTATGACAATATAATAGGTATCTTAATGTTGTAAGATCACTATTATTAGTGCATATAGCCCATCTTTTAATACTTTCAATTAGTTAATTTTTTATAATAAATTACAATGGTTGCATAATTTGAATCTCAAGAGTATTTACTTCACGATTTTAAATGTAATTTACCATTTTTGTATATTGTTATTTTTTTATTAATAACTTACCGTATTTTCATTGCGGATTACTTGTGCAACTTGGTATCATATTTATTGCTTTGTTAAAATAATTTACCTTTAGATAATTCGGTTTTAATAACTTATTTTATATTGAATACGTATTACTTGGGCAAGTTGATATCATATTTACTGTAGAGTAATTTATGACAATATAATAGTTATCTTAATGTTGTAAGATCACTATTATTAGTGCATATAGCCCATCTTTTAATACTTCCAATTAGTTATTTTTTTATAATAAATTACACTGGTTGCATAATTTGAATCCCAAGAGTATTTACTTCACGATTTTAAATGTAATTTACCATTTTTGTACTTTGTTATTTTTTTATTAATAACTTACCTTATTTTCATTGCGGATTACTTGCGTAACTTGGTATCATATTTATTGCTTTGTTAAAATAATTTACCTTTAGTTAATTCGGTTTTAATAACTTATCTTATATTGAATACGGATTACTTGGCAAGTTGATATCATATTTACTGTAGAGATATTTATGACAATATAATAGTTATCTTAATGTTGTAAGATCACTATTATTATCCCATATAGCCCATCTTTTAAATATTTTCAGTTAGTTAATTTTTTTATAATAAATTACACTGGTTACATAATTTGAATCCCAAGAGTATTTACTTCACGATTTTAAATGTAATTTACCATGTTTATAATTTGTTAATTTTTTTATTAATAACTTACCTATTGATTACGGATTGCTTGGGCAAGTTGATATCATATTTACTGCAGACCAATTTATAAAAATATAATAGGTATCTTAATGTTGTAAGATCACCATTATTAGCACATATAACCCACCTTTTAAATATTTTCATTTTTCAGTTAGTTAATTTTTAATAATAAATTACACTGGTTGCATAATTTCAATCCCAATAGTATTTACTTCACAAGTGTAATTTACCATGTTTGTAATTTGTTAATTTTTTTTATTAATAACTTACCTTATTTTCATTGCGGATTACTTGCGCAACTTGGTATCATATTTATTGATTTGTTTAAATAATACCTTAATGTAAAATCAAGTCTTACTGCTAACATCAAATTTATATTTTATTTACTTTGCAGAAACTTATCAAGTCTTGAGCTTTGGAGCGCTTTGAAACATACTTGATTGATTGAGTTCTCTTACAGAATCTGTCAAATTATATATACTGTCAATTATGTTCGTGTTTCTATGAGATTATTTTAATTCATAATTGTTCTTCTTATTTTATATTACTTATGAATTATATTTAAATTTTTATCNATTTTATTTACTTTGCAGAAACTTATCAAGTCTTGAGCTTTGGAGCGCTTTGAAACATACTTGATTGATTGAGTTCTCTTACAGAATCTGTCAAATTATATATACTGTCAATTATGTTCGTGTTTCTATGAGATTATTTTAATTCATAATTGTTCTTCTTATTTTATATTACTTATGAATTATATTTAAATTTTTATCACATTTTCTATGGGATTGTGATATCTATGAGATTTTTATCACATTTTTAATGGTCACTGTCTCCTGTATATTTTTCTTACATTTGTTTTTTTTTAATAATTAACTTTTATTAAAAACATACTAATGATGTTAATTTTTTTTACTTTAGTTAACTTTTATTTTTTTTATTCTTATATACTTTTGTGACTTTTTTATTTTTTGTTTCAGTTTAATATTGAATTTAGTTCACATACTTTATGTGTATATGTTTTAAAACATAATTTTTCTTTTAAAAAATTAACCGACAAAGAGCCTAATTAAACTGATCCAAAAACAAACCCGAACTGAATATAAATTGAACTGGGCATAAACAACACCGAACCAGACTAAATAAGGTTTATTTCAGTTGAAAAAATATATTAAAACCGAACTAAACAAACCAAACCGAAAAAGTAACGATTTGCCCACCCCTACTACATCCTAGAGATTTGCGCAAATCTTGTCTCAGCATTGAAACTCTCAATTGTTCCACTAACTCCCACATTTGAACTCAATAGATACTCATGTCTCAGCATTAGACTATATTTTTATACCCGCACAGGGTGCAGGCCGGTCACCTAGTTTATCATAAACAGAAGAACTGAACCAAAAATATGATTCGGTTCAGATTTGAATCTTATCAATTATACTATTGGATCTTATATCTTTAGAACTAAAAAATCGAAACTGAACCAAACCGAGAATCAAATGAGCATCTAAATTTTTATAATATTTATATATTTATAAATGTTATCTATATTTAGTTTTAAAATAATCAAGCAATTTAATATATTATTTATAAGTCAAAATACCTGAAAATTTGAGTTACTAGAATATTTTTATCCAAAGAATTAAAAATTATTTGTAATATCAAATTTTTATCTGAAACCAAAAGACAAAATCTGATATTTAATGTTTTTTGTCAATCGTTTATTTAAACTAGAGTGATATATAATGTTAAAAACTTGATTTTCAATTTTTTTATCCGAATTAACTAAAAACCAGAACCAAATGAGATCTGAAATTATTTTAGATATTAGCTGATTTTCAACTTGTTACTTGAACCGAATCAAAATGGAACCAAACTTTCTAAATATCCAAAAGAATTCTAATCTCTAGAATCAAATAATCAATAGAACCGAACCTAGAACTGAATTTTAGGACTAATGATGTTTAACAAGAATTTTTTTCTTTAATTATAAATAACTTTCGAAAATATAACTTAGAAAGCAATAATTTCCAAAAGCTTTTTCAGTTTTTAATATATTTGCTTTATTGAATATAGAAAAGAAAGATATCCCCGTGCATGTGACGCCAGCCACTGTGATTAGGATACTTTTCCGTCAACGCACTTTTTCATTTCCTTTTGTTATTGTCACGATTTCATTATAACATTCGAGATTTTCCAAGCTAAGTAATCCTCTGGAGTACAAAGAGATGACGTTGTTTGGTTCCTTTTTGATTGATTAGTGGATGATAATAGCAAAACAATGTACGAATAGACATATATAAACAAAACAAAATAAAAAAGAAGAAAAAGTATTAATGAGTGAACATGGTATATGATATGAATGTATTGTGTCGGCAGTGTGAATGGATAAGTTGATTTGTGTCGCCATCTCAATTATTGATAATGTGAATAAGAGTTTTCATTAGGTGTTTGTTATCCATACGTTCGATTTAAAAGGCTATTGAACGGTCTAGACTCCATTGGTATACATACCACTACTAGTCTACTAGCTTCAAACTTCACTATTTTATAATGAATTGATTCTCAAGAGTTGCTTATATTAACATAAACCGATGTATACTCCTCCAATCGTTGTTGTTTTTGTGGGATTCTTAACTTCTTGGCTCTTGCTAATTAGGGTTTTTTCTTCTAGGTATTTAGCTAATGATAAACTAATGATATGTAACACTGATGTTGTGACATATATGCATGCGTGTATGGTTGTATCTAGGGGCCGTGCCTGAGTAGAAAGAAACTAATAAAGCATTTGCTTCGGATCATTCGAATAGATATTTATAATTACATGGTCAAAATAGAAAATGTAAGTAGCTCCACTAGTAAAAACACTGGTAATGAATTAAAGATGCAGGGTTCAAGTCCTGAAATTGCAAGTTTTTAGCCTTTAAAAAAAAAATGAAGATAATAAGCTAACAAAATTTGTTTAGTTTCTGGACCAATATTTTTCAGGCATGGCTCTGGTTATATCGGAATTCATATATATGGGACACAACAAAATAAAATGCAGAAGATTTCTTAAATATTAATCAATACTTAACAAATATATTGTAAATCGATTACATCATTTAAGTAGTGAGAATTGGAGGGAGATAGTTAGATTTTTCGCCTAAAACCTTTGCGTTAGTATCAGGAAAGAGTTCAGCCCCAGCAAGACTTGTTACTTCACCATTGCTACCAATGCTAATAGGATAACTAAGCAAATGCCCTGGAAGATCGTGATCCCGAGGGTACACTTGTGCTGCATATAGTCCCCATAACTCATCTGCCTTTGCATTAACCATTCTTATACACTTTTCGCTTTCGGGAAACTGGAATGTATTGGTTATAATCCGTAGATGTTCAAGCCATAGGGATATCCTAAAGCTGAAAACTTGCCCCGTTGGCCTCATTTGATTGGTAGATAGCAGATGCTTAGGTTGGTATGCTCCCATTGCGATCTCCGAGTCTCTACCTCCATCCATAGACCTTTGGTTAATATTAGCTGATCCTATTATTATATACT